CCCCAAAACCCCAAAACCCCAAAACCCCTGAGAGCTCTGTAAAATAGGCAGATAATAAAACTTTCTAGATTGTATGTAAATCCCAAAATAATAATAGAATATTATATTTTATTGAAGAGAAGGTATAAATGTTTAATTTCATATAAGGCCTCAGAAAGATGGATCATTAAGAGGGTTCAAATACGCAAATAGATATATACAAAAGAATTGAACCTTAGAATTCAGAAGAAGATAAATCATCTGAAGATGATACATCTAATCGAAAATCTCAGTCATAACGAAGTGAATAAATTTCTAGGCAGAGGACTGTTCTCTCTAAACTGGGCAATGGAAAGGAAACTATCACTTAAGCAAGAAGAAGAAGTCTTCGAAGTGAGCAGCAAAAAGCTTCAATAACATCCGTATTTTAAAATTTTAGAAAAAACCTTTTTACTAGAATCTTGCAGAGAAAGTTAAATAGGATAAATTAAAAAAGCTAAAAGCACAAACAAGACGCTTAGACTTGCTTTGTAGTATTTTTGGCATGATTGGGCTACTTTTTGGAGCTTTTGAGGTAATAAATGTCCATTGTATCTAAACCAATACAGCTGGAGTAATTTTTTGGAGGAAGTTCTAAGGAGTACTAGTTTACTAGCTAAATCAATGCTTTGAGGTCTATTGTATCACTTACTACCATTCTTTTGCGTATTATTTTCAATATATTTTAATGCAATTTAGTGATAATCAATTCAAGATATTATTACAAGTGCTATTGCTACAGGAGACTAAGAGCATTTTAGACTTCTTTGGGCGAAACATTTCTAAGTAGCCGCGAATTCAAAATGTTAGTGCTTAGTAATTTACTCAATACCTTTCACAATCCACCTTTTTTCGAGCAACAATTTAGATCTAAGACTACTTACACAATAACTAGATACTCTATCTCAACTATTATGGCTAATTTGATGTTCCTCAGATTTTACCTTATTTTAAGATTACTTCCAAACCTCTCTTTGTGGATAGATATTCACTCAGAAGATTGCTGCGAAATGGAAGGTATTGAGGCAAACTACGTATTTGCAGTAAAATGTCTTTTAAAAGAAAAGCCCTATCAAATGTTGTTGGTAAATTTTACATTAAGTATATTATCATTTGGTCTGTCTGTAAGAGCGTTCGAGAGGTAATTAATTTAAACAATAACGAAAATAGGGCATTTTATGAAGATGATGTTTATATAAATATTACTCATGATGATGAATTCTATCAAAATTACAACTATGTTTGGAACAGTTTTTGGCTGATTGTAGTCACAATGACGACAGGTATCATTATTTATTTCTTATTTGATTTAGTCGGTTTTGGAGACTTTTATCCAGTTACTCATATCGGCAGATTTATTATTGTTATATCTTGTTTTTGGGGAATGTTTATGGTCTCCTAGTTTGTTTACACTCTTTAAGTTTCTTCAGAATTTAACTTAGCAGAATAGAAAGCTTTTGAATTGCTTAGAAGGCTTATTTAGAAGCAGGAACTCAAGAAATATGCAGCGAGTCTAATCATTTCAAAATGGAGAGTGGTTAGGATTATTAGAAATCACAGAAATGAAGGTGCTACATAGAATACTATAATACAAGATTAGGCTAAGGCTCTAGGACTTTCAAATAAGCAGACGCAGAGCTATCAAAATCTTAGAATGCATGCAGAGGAAATATTCCAATACAAACTTGACTTGTTCAAATAAGAGAAAAAGAGAGTATAGATTAAAGGTATTCCGCTGTCAGAGAATTTGATGAAGATCAATCAATTAGTTGAGCTACATTTAAAGGAGTTAAATAGCGCTATGTTAATATTTAGACGTAATTAAAACTTTCTTTAAAACAATTTATTATAGAAATGAGAAAAAGTATTGATAAACTCATATAAGATCTTGAGGAAGATAATGAGGGTCTAGATGTGATTCAAAATAATTTGAAGAATCTTGATTTTGTCTTGAATAAGATAGTTTACTTAAAGTCTCATTCCGTTAATATGATGTTCAAAGATGCTATAGTACTTAAAAAGGAATAACTTGACTCCAAAACTATAGAAAAGGGATTATCTTCACTTCAGAATCTCATGTAAAATGCCATGTAAAAGATACTTAAAGATGTTGACAACATAGACGATCCTCTCTCTCATGATAAAAAAAGAAATACTTAAAAGATGATTTAATTGATTAGTGAAAAAAGAAATAGCAGATCGAACTCAGCTGCCTAACAGAGCCCTAGACACAACAATGTTAATAACTTGACTTTAAATGTTGAATAGTTAAAGCCAACAAAATCTTTCAGGGATTAAGTATCTATGCCAACTGTGACAATTCTTGATCAAAATGTAGTTGACATGAAACAAGAACTCAAGAAAGAAATAGAAGAGTAAAAGATAGTGAAATAGCCAACTTAAACTAAGTAGCAATTTGAAAAAATTGGACTAATTTCTCCAGTTAATTAAAAAATAGAGAAAATGCTTGATGAATCTGTGAAGCAAACTGAACTCAAGAAAAATATTATGTCTTTCAACCCCAACGCTAGGTTTATGCAATATGATGATGTCATTTCTAATAATAATAGCATTAAAAAGCAAATGCTAGCAGAATAATCCTAAATCAATTTTAACTTTGGCTAGTTAAATGATCACATTAATCAAGATTAAAAACCTGTTGACAATACTACTCTTAATCTTTACAATTTGGAAAATAAGATGAAAAAGAACTCTAGATCATCATTTGAAGTGGAGGTATCGATGAGAGATGAGGATGAAGAACTTAAAGCAACTAATAATAACAGTAAATTTAGTGACAATAATACTGTTGCAGCTGGCTTTAATAATTCATTGGCCCCTTAAAGCGACAAAAATCTTAAAAATGGGTTGCTCTCATTATAAAATAAATCTTCTGACGGCAAAACCAAGGATAAAAGTGTGAAAGTATCTTAAGTGAGGAAAACTTTAATGATTGAGGAGAATTTTAGATAAAAGAAGAACTCAGAGGATGAGCTTAAGTCTTTCTAGAATTCAATGCCAATGAATTCTGATTTGAATTTAGTCTCCGATGAGATTAAGAAAATGATTGCTTCTTAAAATTAAGAAAAAGAACAAATTCAGATACTTCAAAGCAAGAATACTAAGCAAATGGAGTTATTAGAGAAGAATTGTGACTTAGAAAATAAAAATAATGACCAAGGAATATAAGATGCATCACCTAAGATCAAATAAATCGATCATAACTCTGTCTTTACTTCAAAGAGGATAAGTTAAATTCTAGAACAGGCATTATAAATGTCAATTGAGTTTTCTGCAAAAGAAGAGGTAAAGGAGGTTAGATAGAGTAGAGAACTAATGGATTAAAAGAAATTAATACAATAGTAATAGCATCAAATAAGAAATCAGATATAATTCACAGCAAATGATTTACCTAAAAAGTCAAAGCAATCACCATTTAAAAATAATACTATTCATGCAAACTCACCTTAGAGAAATTTGCAATCTCAAATTACAGTAGATAACCCAGCAAAAGCAAGAACCTAAGTCTCTGGCTATACTCCTTTGAATAGTTTGAATGAAGAGCAGGATCGTGAATAAATTAAAATGAGACTTTAAAAAGCTGGAAATTGGATTACTGAAAACTTGCCATCCTTCTTTGAAGATGCAATGATAAATATCATCCAGACAAATTAGAAATATGTGAATAAGAGACTTTGATTAATTTAAAAGTGTATAAGAGCATTTATCTTACCACTTTATATTTATCTTAAATAAATTACTATATTTAGCATCAAGGGGTTTTGGGGTTTTGGGGTTTTGGGGTTTTGGGG